CATTCTATTGTTTTCTTCTATTACTTTGCACTGTTCATTCAGGAAGGCCTCCTTATCTCTCCTTGCTGTTCTCTGGAAATCTGCGTTCAGTTGGGTAAATCTTTCCTTTTCGCCTTTGCCTTTCGCTTTCCTTCTTTCCTCTGCTATTTGTAAAGCCTCATCAGAAAGCCACTTTGCTTTCTTACATTTCTTTTTCTTTGGGATGGTGGTGATTGCTGCCTCCTGTACGATGTCACGAACCTCTGTCCATAGTTCTTCAGGCACTCTATCTATCAAATCCAGACCCTTGAATCTATTCTTCACCTCTACTGTATATTCATCAGGGATGCGATCTAGGTCAAACCTGAATGGCCTCGTGGTTTTCCCAATTTTCTTCAGTTTAAGTCTGAATTTTGCAATGAGTAGCTCATGATCTGAACCACAGTCAGCTCCAGGTCTTGTTTTTACTGACTGGATAGAGCTTCTCCATCTTTGACTGCAAATTATATAGTCAATCTGATTTCGGTGTTGCCCATCTGGTGATGTCCATGTGTAGAGTCGCCTCTTAGGTTGTTGGAAAAGGGTGTTCGCTATGACCAGTGTGTTCTCTTGACAAAACTCTGTTAACCTTTGCCCTGCTTCATTTTGTTTTCCAAGGCCAAACTTGTCTGTTATTCCAGTTACCTTTTGACTTCCTACTTTAGCATTCCAGTCCCCTATGATGATGAGGACATCATTTTTTGGTGTTAGTTCTAGGAGGTGTTGTAGGTCTTCATAGAACCGGTCCACTTCAGCCTCTTCTGCATCAGTGGTTGGGGCGTAGACTTGGATTACTGTGATGTTGAATGGTTTGCCTTGGAATCGGACAGAAATCATTCTGTCATTTTTGAGATTGTATCCCAGTACTGCCTTTTGCACTCTCTTGTTGACTATAAAGGCCACACCATTTTTTCTACGAGATTCCTGGCCACAGTAGTAGATATAATGGTCTTCTGAGTTAAATTCGCCCATTCCTGTCCACTTTAGTTCACTGATTCCTAGGATATCGATGTTTAGTCTTGCCATCTCATTTTTGACCACGTCAAGCTTATTGTTCTTTGCAGCATCTATACCAGTATAAATGCCCCATCTGAACGCACCCCAAGAGGCTTTGCACATGCCTAGTTTTGCCCTCTCAGCACGCTGATTTCAAGAGATCACTTTCACACTGACAAAAAGTTCAGTAATGAAACATGACAGATAGTATCCCTGAGAAGAAATACACAATTCCAGGATAAAAAATCTGGACCAGAAGGCATCATGCCAGGAACAAAGACTCTTTAAATAGACATTAAGCTGGGCAGAGCTGTGTTTCTAAAAGGACACAATGACCTACCAATGGAATTTCTGGCAGCTCACTTGGCATCGCTGGGCAAGGACTATTGTGAGGCTCCCCCAACAACTATACAATAGGAATGATCCTTCTGTTTGAGACCAAGCTGAATTTTTTTAAAAAATTCCCCTTTTTATTCTGTGTTGAAAAAGTAGCCTCATTGGGAAAATGATCTTCTAAATATATGATCTTTAACAAATCTTCAGAAAGCCATGTTCATGTCAAGTGTGGTGCATGGCAAGACTAGGATCAGGTTCTGATCCCTACTTGGCCACAGAAATTTGCTGGGTGACCTTCGGCCAGTCACACACACTCCACCTAACCTACCTCACAGGGACTGTTTCCACGTGGGTTTCCCCCCCCCCAGGTGGAGCACAACATGCCTTTGCTTTATATTTTTAAAAAACTTCTCTGTGAGTATTTGTGTGTGTGTGTGTGTGCCTGGAAGCCATGGTTGACAATCCCTAATGGAGCCAGGACATTTCAGAGAAGTGGCTCGATATTTGCCCGCCTCTGCGTCCCGGCCCTGGTATTCCTTGGAAGGCTCCCTTCCAAGTACTTGCCAGGGTCGGCCCTGCTTAGCTTCTGAGATCTGATGAGATCGGGCTTTCCTGGTCTATCCAGGTTAGGGCCTCTTGCTTCATCGAAGAGTCGACATGCAGAATCATAGAGTTGGAAGGGACCTCCAGGGTCATCTAGTCCAACCCCTTCACAATGCAGGAGATTCACAAATACCTCCAACTCACACCCCCAGTGACCCCTTGTTCCATGCCCAGTAGATGACATGATGTCACATTCTTTCTAAGCATGACCTCTGGGGCTCTTGGGGTCTTCCCATTTAAGGCAGAGCCAATGTCTGCAGGCAGAACTTCCATGTGAAATCGGCAGCCAATCTGGGCGGGGATGGAGGTCCTAGCATCATCTTCGAAATGGCAGAGCTAAGCTCCCCTTTTCTCTTCTCTCTTTTAGGACTTTAATGGAGCACCAGAAGGGAGCGGTGAAGGACTGCAGTGTGTAAAGGCTTTCCCGGTCCACCTCTGATCCACCTACTGCTACTTCCACTGTGGGAATGCAAGTTTACACCTCCGTGTGGAACCAGCTGGGGTCGTTATGGGGATAAAATGCAGGAGACGTGAATGATGTAAACCATTTTAGGTCATCAGCAGGGAGAAAGGCAGGGTATAAATGAAGAATAAATATACAGATAGACAAATAAATGTTGATTTCAAACAGTGGAACCAGAAATAACATTGGGCTGATATAACAATATTACTTATGAAGAGAGGTTTTGCCTTTGTGGGATGGGTAATAATGCTGAAAAGATCTGCCATTGTTTGCTTTTTTTTTACCTTTTGTGTGATTCTCTTATGAGTTTCTGGGGCTATTTCTTACAAACGTGATAGTTTTGCCTTTGCTGTTTATCCATGTAAATGTAACATGCAAAATTATGGTGTGGTGGTTAGAGTGTCCGACTAGGATCTGCGAGACCAAGGTCAGAATCCTCACCCTGCCATGGAAGCATTTTAGGTGACCCTCGGCCAATCACCCACTTTCAGCCTCATCTACCATACAGGGTTACCGTGAGGCTAAAACAAGGGAGAGAAAAATGATACAGGTCCTTTCCGCACTTGGATCTCATCCCTGGTTTTATCAGAGTTCAGCCCACGACACAATACCTCAATGTGATGTGGAAACAAAAAATACCCCGAGATAATTACAAGGGTGAACTTGAGTGTAGTGAAGAATGTAAGTTTGGGGACAGGGTTGAACCAGGATTTAAGGTCTAGTGCAGAAAGGACCATTAGCTACTTTGGGTTCCCATTGGGAAGACAGACAAGTAGAAATGAAGTACAGAAGACATGATTTTTGCAGCTAGGGTTTTTAAGGTGTTCCTTTAATAATACGCATCCTCTTTTAAAATAAACAAAGGCATTTTTCAGACTGCCTTAAAATCCCGCTTTCATTACCCAATGTTACTGTGTTTTTTCCCCTTGTGTTCAGACAGCCTCGTAAACATCCTAGTACTGTCAGATTTCTTCCCCATTTTTCTCTGTTCCTTTAAAAACTGGTTTCTCACTTTTTATTTTAATTGCGAAATGAATGTGCAAGAAAGCCTCTTCCTGGGAATCTGAATATTTCTCTCCACCCTGAGGATCACCGCCCAAACACATCCAGAAAGGGCGGGTTAGGCCTTTTTTTTTTAAGTTGCATGCCAGCGGCGAAACATTTCCGCACTGGAAGGCACCTTCATTGAAACAAGGAGTTGTTTCCATTGGGGGCACCTTCCTATTTGCTCTGCCTTGTAAGCTTGTGTGTGTGTGGTCTGCTGTCCTCTTTCTGCCTCTTTCTGCCTCTCCCGCCTGAGAAAGCCAGGAGCCCGCTTGCCACCACCTCCATCCTACAGGGATCTTGGAGGGGTGGGGAGAAGTTGGCAACTCCAGTTCCTGAAGCCAATGGGACTGCTCTTGTATAAGGGGATCGTACCCTGCTCATATGTTCCAAGAAAGATAGGCAGACAGAGGAGGCTGCTAAAATGCTGAAATGGTTCAGCGCATGTGCAAAAAAATAAATAAATCCAGGGAAAAACCTGGAACAGATGGAACGATGATGGGAAGTCTGAACTCATCCCATCAATAGTACGATCACTGGAACTGAGATGACATGTGTGAAAATGCAAAAGGTGGCTGCAGTCTGAAAAATTCCTAAGAGAAATGAGAGGATTTCTGTTTCGAACGGTAAAGCTGAATGGTGATTGAAGGGTTAAACCCTCTTCTTTCCTGTATGCCTTGCGGCAAATTGAGGCTAAACAAGCCTTCTACTTTATGAATTGGTTTGAGCCAAATACACAATGAGATGCTAAACTATAGGGGTGTCAAGTTGATAGGACTGCTTATTATATTGTGATATTATATTGTAAGGCAATATAGGTATGTTATGTACAATAAGTGATGGTGATCCTTTCTTGTACTGTGCATTCCTTGTGCAAGTTCATGCCCTTTATTTGTATGAGTGGGAAATAATGCCTTCCATCATCATCATGAAGAATATTTTTTAAAATGTAAAGTATTACTGTTTATCTCATTGATAAGCACATTGTCAAAAGGCAGGTGTTACAAGTAGAAGAAATCAAACAGAATATAATGAGCTATGACTTAACTTTGAAACCTTTCTACTACTACTGAGCTATGTGAAAGTCTGGAAGACTGTGTGATGAACAATGATTTAAAACATCTAAGTTCTAATTTTGAACATCTAACATTGGTTAGAACAGAGATAATGTATGGATTCTTACCTTAGGTTGGAAGAAGGCTTCATAAATTGCTTAGCAGAGTGGTAAGATACAGGCCAGTAGCAAGGTGGAAAACTTACAGTTCCAAAGTAAATGAAACTGCTGTTGATAATGATGGAAACTGTTTATCAATTATTGGACTAGATGGATATGAACTGACTGGCTTCTGTTAAGCTTTTAATGGTTCTTTGTTATTGAAATTACTTTGAATTACTTTCAAAGGTCATAGGATAGTTTCAACTTAGGAAAAAAAGGGGGGGAAACATTCCTACCTTTGTCATTGAAATTATTTTGAATTGCTTTAATGAACAACGGCATAGGTCACAGGATACTTTTAACTTAGGAAAAAAGCATTCCTACCTTTCTCATTAAATGGTGTGTGCCAAGCCAGGAGGTAGTTGTCTGGTTTCAGTTGGGAGCAGCCCTCAATAGTAGCAGGATCTGACCATTTTTCAGGAAGTTTGTCAACAACATCAACATAACGTTTTACGAGTTCCCGATATAGATCTTCTAAACACCAGTAATCTGTTGAGAAAAGATCAATATATCGCATTCACAACATCGCCAAATCTGTGGATACTTAAAACTGGAGCCACAGACAGACAAGATATAGCCTTCTAAACACCAGAAAAATGCCCCAGGTTTGCATAAAAAGTAATAGAAGCAGCACCTGTAGCTTTATGAGATGAACGCCCTCTGTGGACATAGCTAGGGAATTACACAGTATTGCCAGCCTTCCAGCCTTGGTTTCTGTTAGTAAAAAGCAGAGGGAGGAGCAGGACCTTTCCAGAGTTGCTTTGGCCTTTAAGGAAGGACTCATAAAAGCCAGCCAGGCCTGGCAGCACCCACCAGGTGACTTGATACCATGTGACATGTAGGACTTACCTGGGCCTGCCTGCTCACTACTGTTTAATGGCAGCCACTCTGTGGAAGCCAGTGGTGTTGTAGTGGTTACAGTTTCAGACATGGATCTAGGAGACACAGGGCCCGATTCCACGGCGGCGGAAATTTGGCCTCCAAAGCGGGGGTTTACCCACCACCTGCCCCTACTTGGCAGCCCTAGATACAAAGGAAAATAAGGTGCCTTTTACAGGTCCTTGCTGGTTGCCCATTATGCAACTGGGCCTGGCCTGGCAGCCAGTACTGCACAACTCGGTCAGACTTTTTCCAGGGAGAGAATCCAGGGTGAGGGAGGGAGGAAAAGCTGAAGATGGGGGGCAGATAAAGGTAGATTGGCTGCTGGTTGGGAAGGAGAGAAGGAATCAGAGAAAGGGGAGACGTTGTGGGGCTATCAGGAAAGGGGAGGAGGAAATAGTGGGGATGGGGGAAAATGAGGTGCCCCCAAGTCCTCGGGGGTCCTCCCACTGTAGCTATATAATCAAATAAAGGCAGCAGGGAATGTTAACAAGGTAATAAGAAATCACCCATGCAACTGTCTCCTCCACCTATTAGTCATTTAATGTGGATTATTTACTCTTTAATATCCTTGAAAAATGATAAAAGCATACTTTTAAAAACTGTGCTTTAATATTAATTTTACATAAGGGGTTGATTCTTGGAATTATTAATTTTATATATCACATATTTACATATAAAGTGTTGGCTCTTGGAATTAAGCACAATGGGACAGAAATGTCTAGGACAGGGCCCTAAGTGATTGTGAGGACAAAATGGTGGATGTTAGGTGTTTCAGGTAAATTACCACAGAGTGAAAAATGAAATAATTGTAAAGGAAAAGCTCTCTGTATAATCAGGACTCTCCTTATTTTTCTGTTTTACTTCAGTGTAACTGACTAGTCTTAAGATACAATACATACTAAGAGTCGAAATTTAAAGGATGCTTTCGTTATTTGTTATTATTATCTCTGGGGCTTTAAGTTCAAAAATACCTGAATGATACTGTAACTCTTTTGTACGAATGTAGAGTGTTTATTATTGGATTCTTTGCATGTTCTTGTTTGCTTTGTTATGAAAAATGAATAAAGAGAAATTAAAAAAAAAAAAAGATACAATGTTCTCCTCAGGGCTCTAATCTCCCATCTCCCCTGTGCTTGGAGGTTCTTCCCCAGCAGAATTTTCTACTTTACTTTTCATATTCCTTCAGCTGGCAACTGTCTTCCTCACCTGCACAGGTATCCAATTGTACATGCTATAAGAAACAAGATTAATAGTGACTATTTAAGAACCAACATGTAGCAATGTCAGACTGACTAAAGCCAAAAGTAAAGCTTGCCAACTGAAGTAATAATTGCTTTGGAAAAAACCATAAAACCATTCATAACTGACACTTCGAATTCTTACGCTATTTAATCTCATTGTTTCCTTTCAGGCAGAAAATGTGTGTTTAGGAACTTCCCCTTTCTCAGCTGTTAGCTGTGATCCAAGTAAATTGTGATTCTACATCTTAGCCCGCTGTGAACAAAACTGTCATGATGAAACATTATGTAAGAAGCATAATAGGCATAAGACCTTATTGCATGTTCATGTCACCATGAGAACCACATACCATGGGCAAAGGAACTCTCTGGCTGGCCAGAATATACAATAGGATTACAAAGATAGTAATACCGGCTGTGGTATTTACCCAAAAACAAAACAAAACAATACATCCAGGACCAAGAGTGCTATAATAAAACAGGTTTATAGGAGTTATAACTGTATCACACACCTTGAGGGCTTGAATAGATATATCCAGAGCTCCCAGCATTTTTAGAAGTCTCTTTCCAGGCATTTGAATTGAACCACAACACAAGGGGAGGGATTTCTAGTGGGGACTATCATATATGAAGTGGTTTGAGAGTAACAATGCCCACGTGCCATTGGATCTACAAAGTCTCAAGAGTTACTTTAACTAAGTATTTTACCTAACAGCAATTTCCATCTTAGGCTAAGTTTTTAAAACTCAATGACTATTCTTGTTTGCCTGATTTTACACATTCTTTTTTTTTTTTGTATAAAGATTTTATTGATTCCCCTAAAAAGGGGAGGAGTTTCGCTTAAAAAGAAAAATAGGGAAGGTATATAGTGGGACGAAGAGAAAGCTGAGTGATCTGTTAACTGTTAGATTAAACTGTTAGTAATGTCCAATCATCAAAGGCTTCTTCTGCGTGTTGTCAAACATCTTTTTTCCATTCCAGTTACTTTTTGTATTAGTATGTTAGTAATGTTCCTTTGAATTTCTGTTAAAAAGTCTCTTCAGAGCACATTCGAAACCGCTTCTTTTACGTGCTGGTTACTTTTCCACTCTCAGTGACGGGAGGGGCTTCCTCTGTTTTTCTCTCCCTCCGGCTTCTTCCCCTCCTCCTTCGGGTCGCTGTTAACTCTTTCAGTTCCTGTGCTATAAGTCGTCTTCCTTTCATGCCATGCCCGGAGATCTCCAGCTTTGAGAATGGTATTAATTTCAATTTCGCTTTTATCCGCTCCCAATCTCTTCGCTGGATTCTCCTCTTCAATTGTTGACTTTTATAAGCGCTCATGAGGCACTTTTCGCTGTCACAATTCAAACTTTTCTTTTCCTTCACAATCCCCGTTGGATTCATAGCTATACACAGTCCAAATATTAAACAGCCGGCACTCACGTTGACACAAACGCCCTGACGGAAGTCCCTTCCTTCTCCTCTGCTTGTCTTTACCCAGCTCCGACATCTTGTTTTTTTATTTTTAGTAAAGTTCTTAAAATGCGCTCCAGAGAAACAAAACCTTTTCTTGCTTATTTTCAAGTACATCAAAGGAAAACATCACTATTCGCTCAGTCCATGCCCCCCCTCTTTTCTTTTTTTTCTTTCTCGCTTATAGAGGATTAATCTCCTCATTTTCCGCTGAAGGGGGGGGGGAAAAGGTTCTTAGTTCATTTTCTCTGTATTTTGACAACTCACAGTTACGCCAGTCTTTTCTTTTCCATTTTTTTCGGATATTCGCTTCATCACTCGGTGACGCCCGGTGGTTCCGCTAAACCCCGTAGAACGGGGTCGCTCACGCAGCAAGGTCCAAAGGGGCAGGGCATGGCGAGAGTCTCAATCTCCGATCTTTCGACCGAAAGAGAGACTCCCCCCTGGAACGCCCTAAAGCGCCCCGGATCCGAGCTCCTCTCATCTGAGGGGCTCGTTCGGGTCTCCGCTTGCGCGGATTCCCTCCTCCACCGCGGGCGGGCAAGGCGCCCTCGGGAGCGACCCGAGGATGCGTCTGCCTTTCGCGGGAGCCAGACCGGAAGCCCCTACACATTCTTTTTTTAAAAACACCCTTTAAAACATTTAGGGTTATTAATTTCCATCTGTAATAGTTAAAGAAATTCCTAGATTCCTGAAGAGCGAAATTTCTGCTGGGTGCTACGCTCCTTGGATGTATTCTGAGAGTGCATATCCCATGTAAACTCGTTCAGTGTGGAACTGAGGGAACACCTTTGGAAATGGAGAATTTACTGTTCCTACCTCTGAAGAATGCATTTTATTGAAACCAGCCAAGCATCGAGATGGAGCTCATGTGTGAAAGTTCCCAATTTCGGATATTTTTTTTTGTCAAAAGAGTTTTATTTTCCATTATTATCACATTTTACATCTTTTTATCAATTGGTTAAATATTCCCTTTTCTCTCCCTCCCCCGAAAGGCTTCCCGCAATGCATTTCCCTCATGTCCCACATAGATAAACTCAGGATAACATCAAGTACTTAATATTGTTCTAAACATAGTAAATTTTGTCTCACGTCCCAGTTCTTTTCTAAATATATCTTAAAGTCCTTCCATTCTTCAAAAAATTCTTGGTCCTCTTTATTGTTCAACTTTTTGGTTATTTTGTCCATCTCAGCCATGAACAGAACTTTTTGTATCCATTCTTCCAGATCTGGTATTTTTTCTTGCTTCCAATATTGAGCATATATCATTCTTGCCGTTGTTATCAAATACCAGAACAGTGTCTTTTTTTTTACATTCAGTTCTTCCATTTTTAAACCTAAGAGCAGAATTTCAGGTGTTTTCTTAAAAGAACATTTTAGAATCTTTTGCATTTCACTGTGGACTTTTGTCCAAAAGTCCCTAGCTTTATCACATGTCCACCACATGTGATAAAATGAGCCCTCATGTTTTTTACATTTCCAACATTTGCTAGACATATTCTGGTTCATATTTGCTATTTTCTTAGGTGTCATGTACCATCTATAGATCATTTTGTAACAATTTTCTTTTACATTAGTACATACAGATAGTTTCATAGAATTTTTCCACAAATATTCCCATGTTTCTATAGTTATTTCCTTATTCATATTAACTGCCCATTTTATCATTTGCTCTTTTACAGATTCATCCTCCGTAAACCATTTCAACAGTATTTTGTACATATTAGAAATCAGCCAGAAGGGACCTGCAAAATGCCACCTCTCCCCCTTGTGCCAAGAGATTTGATCTCTTGCATTTTCCCACTCCTTGTGGGTCGAAGAATCCTTTCCTGAAATCTCCAGGAAGATATAATCTAGCCTTCGTATCCTCAAGTCTCTGTATGAACAAGAGAATTCCAGCTAAGATGTCAGCTGTCC